ACACACACACACACACACATATATACTAAACTAATCAATACTTTACAAGGTAACTTTAAATATTATGATGTTCACCAATACCCACGAGTCAGGAACTTTTTACAAAAATCAATCAAACTCTGAATAGAAAAATTCAACAATGCAAAAAATTCTTTAGTTCATTATGCAAAACATCAGTATAGAAGTATCAATTAATTTAGTGTAAGAGTGTTTAACCATCCCAACACCATCACTGGTTAATTAAACTTTACTTTTCATACCACAAACATCAGTGATCACAATAAAAAACAAAAAATGTTACATCACCTGTAATGTAGTTACACTTCTTAATTATTGGTTGAAACTAACAGACTTGTTTGGAAACATTTAGCTCCTAATAAGTACTATACAGACTATACCATTATATCAATGAAGGTTTATTGGAATAATTTACAAGTTAAAACAGTAGACACTCACTGTATTTGCTAACATGCAACACTTATGGGCATACCACTTATAATTTTTTTTTTTTATAAACTACACCCATTGGATACAATAGATCTTAACTCTTATTAGCATGAAATATTTACTTTCTACAGACAGTTTCAATGTTACTGGTCTGACGGTTTCAAATGAATATTTACCTACTACAGACAGTTTCAATGTTACTGGTCTGACGGTTTCAAATAAATATTTACCTACTACGGACAGTTTCAATGTTATTGGTCTGACATATAGCTGTGATATAACAACGTGTCTCTCGTTAGACTGCTTTGTGAAAAACCTCAAACAGAAAACAAAATAAAGAGATCTCTTCTAAAGCTAAAACTAATGATACTAGTCTTGAAATTTTCTGTGGACTGCTTCAATATGAAGTTTTGTAAAAGATTATATTAACTTGATTTTTTTGAAAAAGCTATTAACAGGTCTTGGGTAACAGTAACATATTTCTCAAGTGTTTGAAAATTGTCAATGAAAAATATAAATAGAACCATTGTTACAAATCAGTTTTTAAAACCACATGTTTTTAACTAAAAGTATTCTAATACACTGGAACCAATTCCTTGAAACAACTGCAAAAATTAAAACAGTGTATTTAAACTTAACATTTTGGCATATGCCTTTTAAACAGTTCACTGTAACACAAGCTACAAGTATGATCTGATATTTAAATGACAGAAGATAAGAAATATAATGTATAATCACACCCTACCAAAACAAGAAAAAAATTAATATATAAATTGTATGATAAAATGAGCCAAAAAATACATACAAAATATTATATATAACATAATTTAAGGACAATAAGAGGCCTGTTGGTCCATATGTGTCATCCCATTCACTAAACTAAACTTTAAAATAAGAATAAAACACTCAAGCTAGCACTTATTCAAATATTTATCAAGCCTTCTTATAAAACTGCCTTAAGTTTACTACCTCCACCACATCTGAAAGCAGCCCATTCGAAAAGCCAGTCATCCTGTTAGAACAATAAAACTTTCCAGGTTGAATATAACTCTTACCCTGACAGAATTTATGTATCCCTTAGTCCTACAATGGTCACCATTAAATATAAATAAATGTTGATGATACATCAACATTGTCAATTCCTTTAATGGTCTCAAACACCTCAATCAGATATTCTCTGACTATTATTTTTTTCAAGAGAAAAATTTCAGAAACCTTAACCTGTCTTCATATGACAACTTTTCCAGCCATTCTAGTAACCCTCCTCTGAACTATTTCCAACAATTCAATGCCCTTACTAAGATAAGGTGCTCAAGACTGAACACAATACTCCAAATGTGACCTATACAATGAAATTATAACCTCTTCAGACTTGTATTCAATATTTCTGTACATACAACCTAAAATCCAATTTTGCTCCTACCATTAGCAATAGCATACTGCTTGGATGGCTTAAGAGGCTGATCAACCACTACACAAAGATCCCTTTCTCTCGATACACTGTTAAGGTTATTCCCATCCAAATTATACTTATAATTCAAATTATGATAACCCACATGCATTATCTTACACTTATTAAAATTAAAATCTATCTACCATTTATTTGCCCAACTCACTAAATGATCTAAATCATTTTGTAAAGCAGCAACATCTT